ACTAACGCCCTAAGCGTCCTAACGAAAGAAAAAAGAAAATTTAGTGTGCTGGTCAAATCGGAGACGACGAGCGACTTAGGAGACAGAAGCTATGATGAACTCGCGTTCTCGCGAATGTACTTTATAATTTTTTCTTGAGAAACTATTACATCACCTGGCGCACAACCACAGGCAATTTTGTATACTTTTACTAGATTATCTGGATTTGACCATAAACTTTAAATGATTTAAATGACATTAGTTGACTCTACACTATAATATGTATTATTTTGTTCCGTGTAACGAAGTGAATTTCTCAAAGAGAATTGACGAAATGATCTTAATCCTACTTCAAACTGACTTCACATGAGAGAGAAAAATCGTTATTTTAAAGTATTACTGAGCGTGCAAGAATGTATTAAAGCCACACTGGCTTATTCCTCATATTCATTAAATAACGAAAATTGGCTGTCTTGAACTCCCCTATTTCAAAGTAATTATACTAAAACCACATCATCACCAACACCACGAATCCTGCTTCACCCGATTGCAAATAGCGTACGTATGCGTTTAGGAGATAATACGTTTTCTCTTACTTATTGGCAGGTTATTGCGCTAGGATTTTGTACCGCCATGAATTTTTATGGGCCACTTTTGGATGGAAATATCTTTAAAAAGTTCAAAAGTCCGATGTTCAAGTTTAGGAACTTTCCTCTCCTGCTTTAGATCCTCTCTTTCCCTTACCTACTATTCCACGTAAATAAAATGTTCGTCGTGGATAATATGCTTTTCTAAATCTTTATTTTTTATATATTAAATTGTTTGCTTAACCATTCACCTTTCTCAAAAATTGTTAAATAGTTCAGCAAACTAAACGAAGTAACAGTAAAGGAAACATTAATAAATTCAACATCCGCTTGCATAATCTAAAAAAAAAGCAACCTAAATGCATCCAAAGTTTAAGTCGATATAAATATCTAATTCGTATTACAGAGAAGACAGCATTCTAAACTTGAACGTTGTTTTGAAAACTCTTTTTTCACAGATAAGTTATTTTGGTTTGTGTTCCATTTGTGTTGCATTGTAACACAAAAAACACTACTACTTTTCCGTCCTAAGCTATTGTTAAAAAATAATAGGTGGCTGACGACACTTCGACTACGGTAAATTACACCATCAATCGCAACAACAAAACAAAATCTAAATAGAAAAAAGATTTTAAGGTCTGGTTCCCCGTCACTACGACAACCTCCTTCGGTCGTGGTACTTCTGTTTTCACAATAATATACGTGCACACTGTCAGGCATATTTCATCCCATCTTTTCTGAATAGTCACTAATACCGGAAGTCTCTTATCACTGCGTTGAGTGTACAGTAGACCACGAACGTACACAAAACAGTAAGAACGTTTTATATTTTTCCTTTACACTACTGGAAATGTACTAACATTAAATTGAGCATTTAAAATATCGATGCCTCGTTGAATATTTACTTTTCCCATCATGAAACATGAAAAGATTACGCAAAACATGTTACGAAGGTCATCACAACGTAAATGATGACGTACGAAGTCTCCACTTCCGGTGTTTACCACTGAGATAACAATTTCCCTACTTGTCCTAGGCGATGGGAAACGTTCCTAACGACTAGGGATTATTACGTAATTAAACAACCACGTTTTTGTAAATCCTAAAAATGAAAGCTAATGTTCTCATGCACGAAGCTTTCTTTTAGAGGTCCATAGCTGCATTCTTCTTTAATTCAGTCATTCCTTGAAATCATTTCAACTACTGTGAGGCGAGCATGCACTCTATTCGCCGACCGCAAATCCAACTTCTCAAGCGGAAACCTTGTGAACTACATTGCTGTCTCAGTGCACACACACTTTATAATACTCGAGCAACGCAAGCATGGCGGAGTGCCGGCACGACCAACAACAAAGATTACACACAGAAACTGTGCCACCTCGCCGCGAACGCACGGTCGGCCCAGCGGCCGTTGCCTGAAGCGCGTCCTTCCGACCCGCGAGTCGCACAGTGGGCCCAAACATACAACGCGCGCACGTCATACTCTACTATTCTTCCAAGTATTTAGACAGCTAGAAAATTTAACATGTTCAAATGAAAAATTCCATCAGAAATACGCATATCGATCTTTATTTTCATATTTCTCACATTCATTTTCATGGCGCAAAACGTCTAAAATGTCACTAAGCTGTATTTCACACGGAGCCACAGAATACGAATACGCAAAAGATTAATTTTTGTTCACAGCTTATTCCCTATGTTTCCTTTTATGAATCTGTATGTAATATTTAATGAACACTAAGAGGACATCGGTTGAAAAGTATATGGTGTACTACTTGAAATTAACAAGTTCCATTTTTGATAGCGCCCATGCCGTACGTGAAACAAACCTGGAGACCTCGCTCCTTGAGAAACGTGATTCAGAACGGCGGCGCTCAAAGTGTATTGTGGGGAAACCAGCATCATTATACATGACGTCCGCTTCCGCGAAAAGTGGTCCGATATATCTGAGTGTGCAAACGAAGGCAGCCACAATAACAGGTTTTGCGCGTGGATTTTTTTTTGGGTTTGTTTTCACGTGTTTGGTGCGCTCCACGGGAGCGCCTTTTGGGGCCTAGCCCCTAGACACAGAGATTACTAAAAGGGACCTCTTTGACAGCTTCTGCTTGGCTACTGTTGGCAACACAACTGCAGGTTATGTCCATGCACTTATTCTGTCAGTGCGTTCGTTTACAATTAGCTCTATTTGTAAATGGCTTCATTATCTTTTGGAATGTCAGCGCCCTGCACGACATTCATTTGTTTCCCGACCTGTCAATGTGGTACCTTCTTAGTTTAACTGCTCTATCCCGAGAGTAGCGCAACCTGAACGGCTGCCGCCATTTAATATTGTCTCACCCGATAGTCCCGCCAGACAACATTCAGGTGTTAAGGAGAAATGATAGCAATCTAAGGCGTCATAGAGAGTTATATATCATTAGTTTTTGGTACATTAGTGGTTCCCAATCCACCCACATCACCGCACAGCAACTGGATATAAAATGGCGGGATCGAGACGCAAAATGAATGCGCCATACTTCGATTTAAATATCGGGTCCGTTGACGTAAATCAGCTGTTACGGTGTCATCCAATCGAAAGCATGGATGACACCTACCGCAGTGACGTTTACGCCCCCCGATTGGACGACACCGTAACAGCTGACGATCTGTCGAAGGACACGAAATAAATCGCAGTATACTCCCTGCACCCAGGGAGCGTGGAAGCCGCGCGCTTGGCGCCGCCGCGCCTGCCCCAAGCGAGGCTGGCTGGGCGACCGCGGGGCGGCCGCTGCGGACCGGTTCCGGCGCGTGACGCAGCCGCAGCCTTATCCCATCCCGTGGGAAGTCCTCGCGGAGCGCGCCACCGCCGCGCCACTTCCTCCGCGCCTTGTTCGGCGCTGGGCGCTCGCCAGGCGACAGCGCACGGACGAAGGAACGAACGCAGGCACCGCCACGTGCCGGCGCACCGGGCTGCGGGCACGGGCGTGGGCGTTCCATGTCGCGTTATTCGTAGGAAAAAAAAAAAGCTTGGGCCTCGATTGGATACACTACTGTTTCCAGGACTATGCATCAGCAAAAATACCCTACACATACGATGTACTCGTTGAAATTACTGGACATGACATTTTGTGCACACTCCTTCACTTTACGTTGAAGGCTGTCGAATGTATTATGTACTCTTTATACTGAATGAACGCAATATCCCATTGCAAGTTAGTTTACACAGCAATTCATAAGAGTAGATACATACGTTAAGTTTTCAAACATCTTTCGTCGCTTAACTGTCGCATTACATGCTCTTGGCTGTTCAATCCTAATAATTTAGTCCGAGAACTAGCATGATATATGGTCAATAAAAAAAAAAAAAAAAATCAGTATCTCCCAAGAGAATTCCGTCAATAAGATACATAGAGGTACCTTGTTCAATACAATATGCAGCTGCCGATCCGGTGGCCGAGATCGCTAAGGCAGTAGTGCCGTGGCGAACTCGGACCGAATGATCGCCGGTTCGAGTCCCGCCTCGGGCACGGTTGTATTGTGTTTCGTCCTTTCACCCCCTATCATCATCATTATCGTGTCAACCCACAGTTACCATACCGTTACAAGCAATAGTGGTCGCTAATGACCTAGTAGTTGATGCGACCTTAAATAAAAAAAAAAAATAATAATGCAGCTGAATACAAACGTGTACACGTAGGATAATTAACTATTGTGTTTCTTCAAACAACGGAGAACGGAAAGTAACAATGAGATTTTCAAACAATGTTCGGTCCCACTTAACCATTTGCGGATAGAAAGTGTGCTTCAGAGCACGCTGCTTTACCTGTTTATTTATGAACGTTACTCCGATGAAGTATAGCCACTACATTACAGCCACTAACACCACCCAAGTGGCATGAAACACGCCTGCAACGTATTACAAACACTGCTCCAATGTTTATCACTTTTCATGTGTAAACATACGTACACTTGTATAACACATGCATGTACTGCGTTAATGTTCATCTAACACTGTGTCAACAGGCCACAAATCCGATCTACTAAAAAATATTTTAGTATTGTAATATTGTTTCCTCGATTAGCTTTTAGTTCTCAAACAGCCAGGTAAATTAACAACACGCCACTATAAACTGTACGCCAGTGAGAATCTAATGACGGTCTACAAGCATTCGCTTTGTAAACACTACTAAATAATAGAATTTGTACCACAATTTCGCAAAAGAGAATAATAAATCTAAACAGTGTGGGTAAAAATTAAATATTAAAGTGGTATCTTCTATGTTTATAATGTACGACTATGTCATTTCATTAACTGGAAAGTACATACAACTCCGGTACAATTCCTCATCACCCCTACAGCGAGATCCATCACGCCCGTTGTGAATACCCTGGCCCACCGCCGCCGAGGCTCTCAGCTGAGCGGCGGGGAGCGGTGGGCGGGGCGCCCGGGTCCGTTACCTTGGGAAGAGCTTCTCCTTGAGCAGGCGCCTGCTGATGGCCGTGAGCGGGCGCAGGGGCGCGATCTGCTGCTTGTTCCGCGTCATGGTGCGGGCTTCGTAAAACCACTCGCGCAGCATGGAGGCCGCCAGCCCGCCCGCTCGCGGGCCCAACGGGAGGTCCGTGCCGGCCGCCGCCCCCGCCGGGTTCTTCGCCCGACGTCACTCGCGCACTCACACCCACACACCTCTGGACTTCTCGGGACTTTTTCCCTTCACCTCGTCTAGCGTCGCTTCGCGTTGCGTCACTTGTCACACGCGCACTCGCCTACCTCGACCTCGCTTATCGCACCCGGAAGCACTTCCTCCAGTTGTCGCAACCGACGTCGGTTTATGAGAGGGGGGGGGGCAGCGCTGGTAACGAGTTCGACGCGCCACGCGGGCAACGAGATCACGCGGCACAGCACACCTTGCAGTCTGAAGCACCACGGCGACACAACGCGAGCGCAAGCGACGAACCGACTGACGACGACGCACTTGGCTTCGCGCGGGTGCCGGTCGTCAGCTGTCTGATTCACCAGACGCAGGCTGCGTACGCGACTCCTGGGCGATGACTAACAGCCGTTATCAGGGCCCCGCGGCGAAGCTCTGCGCTCCGCGCGCGTCGAGAGAGGGGAGGGGCGCTGAAACTCCCCGGGAGTGGGCGTGGCTCCGAGGTGGAAGCCCCTTTCAGAATAATCCACTCCGGTCTAGGTCAGAGCTCCGTCACTGCCAACGCTGCCTTCAGTGGAGTCGGTCGCCGTCAGCGCCAACGGATTTCCCGCGTCCCCTCGGCGTCTCCCGCTCCCTTCTCTGTCTCTCTCGCTCGCTCCACCGCGAGGCGTCGGCACAAAAGGCGAGAGGGGGAGGGAAGGCGGAGGCGGCGCGCCGCCGGGCGGGCGAGAGGGGGCGGGCGGAGCGAACCGAAGCAGGGCAGGGCAGGGCGCCCGCAGAGGACCCGGCGCGTGCGTCTGCTGCGGAAGGCTGGGTGCGCTGCGCTACGCTGTGGTACCGCTGCCTCTCCGCGTGGCCTCGCCGTACGTGAATGACGTCTGCCTGCCTCGGCGCGCCGGCGGCGTGGCCGCTCCGCCAGCGAGCCGGGGCGCGCGGGGCCGGGGCGCGCCGGCCGGCGGCGTGGGGGCACGGCGGTAGAGGCCGCGGGGACCCCGACGCGACGGACAGAAACCGCACCCGCGGGGAGGGCGAGACGGCGGAGGCAAAGGAAGGCGGTGCGCCTTGCCGCCTGAGGGGAGAGGCTATTTTTAAAGGCGCCGTAACGAGCACGCGGACAATGGTCCCTCTCGCCAGCGGCGGCGGCGGCGGCGGCGGCGGCGGCGTCGACGTTGGAGGCAGCGACTTGCACTTCTGGACGCGCTTCTCGCTACCTAGCGACCCTCCACCGCTAGGTGCACAGGCACGCGCCTAGGATAGTACAAATAACGAAGGGTGAAAAAATAAGGGAGCCGATACTTATAAATTTGTGCAGTACTGCATGTTAAAGAGAATCCGTCCCAATCGAGAGAGGATTTCAATGCGCTTTATACAATATTGATAAAACAATTTCAAAATCTTATTCAATTTTCTTATTATTCTATATTTTATTTTTTTATATTTTTTGGAAAGGGAAACCATCAATTATCTCTCGAAGTACAATTCACGAAATCATTCGCATTCTCTATATATATGTCGAACATTCGGACCCTTTTAGTCAACATTGTAGTAGAAAAATGAAGTTTAATTTTAAGCATTTTGTAACAAATGTGTTGACGTTATCTTATTAAAAAACTGAAATCCGGCATGTTTACTACCCCTCTTGCCTTCTGTTTGCATTCACTGGCTTGGCATTTTCACGAACACGTCGACAGGCGAGTGGTTCGTGGCGTCGCTCAGAAATCAGATGACGCTTTTACTAAAGAATGCGATGCAAGGAGTTTCCTGCGACAACAAATCGAATCATCGTTGTGTTTGCTTGCATAGTTCCATTATAACTTTCCACGGTTATGACCTCATGGCGCATTAATCACTTTAGACGATATGTTCTATTTAATTATTAAACTAGCTCAGAGTCCGTCGTCTCAAAGTTTTACAAGTAGACAAAATTGCAAATAAAGATGAGACACAAGAAAAACAATGAGTATGCAAAAATTCTTGGTACTCATGTGTTTACTTGCTCTTTCGTCGCAATTATTGTCTACGCCAATAATTCATATCAACAAGTATATATCTGTTCATGGAGTTACTAGTTTAGCGGAACGCTAATGATGCATTCCCATATAGTATTCATCATTCTCATTTCGTCATTTTCTTTTACATCATACGTTCTGGGACTTGATTGTGAGGATTGACATTTAAATACATTTTACTGTCAATGGAAAAATTCGCTACCTGGAGGAGCGGCATCACGGAAGAAGTTCTGAAAATATGTAAAACCGTTGACTTCATAAGTATTAACATTTTAATTAAATAAACATTAATATTAATAACACTAATATTAATTCACCGAAATAATAAAATTGCAGGCAGTATGACTCCAACGAATAGTTTTAAAATTAAGATGATGGTGCTCAAATACAAATTAAATGCTGGTAGTCAAACTATGGAAATTTGGGATGAAAGAAAGAGGTGTTGGAATGAAAGATAAGATTCACGAAAGAGACTCTGTGAAACAGCCAGTTTTTCCCACCACAAACTGCAAACCGAAGAGTACAGACGTCAGGAACGGTATTCAAAGCAATTCGATGAAGTGGTTCCTGCGCAAAAATTGACCTGCTACCTGCATTTACAACTCTCACAATTGCATAACACCAATAAATAATGAAATGTCAAAATCATAGTTAATCTTAATTTTTAAACACAATTTTGCTTTGAAAAGCCTCAGAATCAATGGAAAATCTCGACTTAACCGGTGCCTTTTTTCAAAACAAAGAAAATTTGTTTTATTGAGAGCAATTTCTTCGGAACAAGCAATCCCCCCTACCCATTTCTTTCCTCACGCCCCTTGGCCCCGCACACCACCGTCCTCCGCGCCCGGAAACGGTGGGGGCCGCGGGGAGTCTGGCGCGCCTCCGGGCCCACGGCTGGATGCCGTGTGACATGACTCCTTAATAGCGCCATAAAGGCTCGAGTCCTGTCGGGGCAGCTCCGCTGAATAAGCGATGCCACCGAGAATAGCGCGCCGCGCCGTCGTCGTCCACCACCACCGCTCCCCCCCTCCCCCATTCCTTCTTCGTCGCCGTCGTCCGCTTTGACAGCAGCACTCTCGGGCTCGAGACGCGGGATCGTGTATCTGCTCGAGCAAATACACACATTCACGCACAAACAAAGGAGGCGGCGTTCCCATTCGGGTGGCATTTGCCGAGCGAGTAACCGCGAGTCTCGCGAGTGGTGGTGGCGCCAAGCGGCGGCGGCTGCTGCTGCAGCACGGCGGGCGCATTGTAAGAGAACACTTTCATTTCAAATGGACCTCTCTCTCTCTCTCTCCTCTCTCCCTCCGAACGGCGACCGTTAACGCGGGCCGCGCCCGGGAGCAGATGCGAACGGGCAGCAGAGCGTGAGGGCGGACGCTCAAGTGGCGTACGCTTCGCAGATCGCTTCGCACTTAAGTTTCCCTTTCCAAAGCACCCAGCGAGCGGGAGTTGCAGGGAAGGGCAGCGTTCGTTTGAAAGGGAAGGGGTCGCGCAGGCTCCCTTTGAAATCAAGCGATACGAAGTGCAACATGCAGGGAACGGTTGTGGTTCGAACGATTTTTTAACACGTATTCAATGTGAACAGAAATTATTATTGATAAATGAATTTACCGAACACATTACAGAAAACGGAAAACAAGTCTTTTAAGGCCCCATATACATTGATGAGACGTGTAGTGCTCTACTGTAAGAGGCACAACACCTGAATGCTGAATATTACTTTTCTGATTCCCACTTATAGAATTATAATTTTGTAAATAATTAATACTTGTAATTACGGTATACTAATTATTACACTATACTCTGTATTACGAGGCCTACTGCCCTTTAGTTCTTATTTAGGGGACATTTCATGGCAAGAAATTAAAAAAAGTAAAATTAATTCTTAAAGGTAGGCAGAACAATTATGACACACCAGTTACACAGAAGATACATTCCTACTCAGAAAACACTGATGGCACTTTACGGATTTAAATTCTCAAGATAAATATTTGTTTCGTAAAACAATCATTAAAATTTTATACAGTAAATTAATATTATAAAGATTCTATGAACAAACAGAATGAGTCATATTAAGATTTGAGACATTGTGCGGTGATGTTACTGCAAAGTAAGGGCAATGGTGGTAAGAGAATCTGCAATGGTTCACGGCCGGGCAGAGGAGAGACAACGAGCTCCCAGCCACGTCTGTGAAAAACGAGTATCCAAAATAATACGCTCGAAAAGAACGAAATCACGACTTACGAAGAACTCTCGAACAACTGCAACTTTCGCAAGAGGAGAGTCTTTACCACCGAATCAGCAAAACAAACAAGACACGCGAGAGACTCCGCCGCGACAATCATTAGCTTCACTTAGTAAAATTCCCCGCGGACGAGAAGCACAACGAAAACCGAGGAGGGGGAAAAAGCAAAAAAGGAAAACGAAAGGCAAATAGCACGTACACGTCCTTAAGCTACGAGAGGTCAAAGAGGTAGAGATGGAGTAAAGGTCCCGCAGACCGGCTGTCGCGTCGCAGCACACAGCATCGCCGCCGCGGGCGTCCAGATTGCGCGGCCTTGACAGCGAACATGTGTCATTCGCGCCACTCCCACACCCACCGTTGTTGTTGCCGCCGCCGTGTTTTACAAGGTCATAAAATTAGCGTCTTTGTTGCGACGGAGCAGATGCGGCGGCGGCGGGCCCGACAGTCAGGCAGAGAACGGCCGCCGTGGAACGCAAAGATCACCGTGTTCGGGAGACACGAAAAATCTGAATGGGAGAGTTGGAAAGATGAGTGCTGTAGATACAGGGAAAATAGGCGTGAAGTTGGTCAGATAAGGAGCATTTTTCGTAAAAGTATAAACCGAATTCCGCTGAACTAGACTTCTACAGTTATTTTTATATCTTCTATTATATATTAACACACTCCTGATTTTACGATAAACATTCAATGGGAAAGTGCAACATGTATTTCGTAACCTCTTATATCTGACATTGTTCCCTAAAAAAAGATCGCGGATATAAAGCAAGTAATGATGCAAATTCATTTCTGAAGTTCAGTATAATGTTTTCTAAAATGCCTGAACTACAATACGTTCACGACGGTCAATTCTCGGACCACTAATATCCGTCTGTTTAGACAACGAGCAAATTCATGGGACTTGACTAAATGACGAACATTCCGAAAGCAACCTCCGGAAGTTCAAACCTACGTTGCGATTCCACCCAATGACATCGCTCCGAACCTCATAACCTCGAAGTCTACTGCAAACCTCGGAAGTACGGCGTGTTTCCTGGGTGTATTGGGCCCTCCGGCCAGCATAAACATGGCTTGCTCAGTCCGTTGGGGCCCGCAGCAGGGGGGGGGGGCGAAGGGTGGGCCGCGGCCGTCGACGTGCGCCGCCTGCAGAGAGCGGCGGCCACATTCAGGGCAAAGTCGGGCGAGGGGGTGGATACCACCCGTGTACCGCTATAGGGTGGGCCGGGATGCGCCAATCCGTCGCGTCGCTTCGGCCATCCCCCCCCCTCCTTCGCTGCGACGCCCGCAGAGTCGGCGCCGCCGTGCCGCAAGGCGGAGAAATGGCACTGGTGAAGAGCGAACGTGGGTCGGCATGCGAGAAGACGAAAGGCGTGCCGCGAGCCGCCTAGGCGGCAATGCCGTGTAGCGAAGCACGGCAGGTAAGAAACGGAGGGCTGCGGGGCAGGCGTGGAGGCGGCGCCGACGCAGAGCGACGGGTAACCGGTGGCGGGAAACTTGCGGGAGGGCGGCGGCGGTTAAGCGAGCATTCGGTATTCGGCGCGCTCGCTCGCCCGGCCCGCCCCCACCCCGGGGCGGCGCGCCGCCGTCTTCCCCTCGGGCGCTCCGCCTGATTTCAGC